AATGCGTACTTGCTGGGATAAGATCCACCAAAAAGCCACCAGGAGCGGTAGAGAGCGAAAATTGCTCAGTGGCTCTATCAGCTATCGCAACAAAGGGGTCGTCCTTTTCTTTCACCTCGTAGCCATGCGATATTCTCAGAATCACCGCTCCTGCGGTCCTAGGTGGTGATATAGTGAGCAATCGTAAGCGATGATAATGGCAAAATCCCACTTTCGAACATGGCCAGACAAATCATCGGGGTTCATAAGGACGCTGCGCAAGAATTTCCGAGCCTCAAATTCTTCGCTGGGATGGAATTGTTTTACAGCGGATGGAGTTCCTATGAGACTGTGGAATAAACGTCGATAGCGGCGGAAGCGGTCACTATAAGGTAAAAGAACCATAGTGTTCTTCCAGCCAACGAGTTCTCCGCCCATTTGAAGGACGGGGCGATCAGAGTAGATGGCGCTTTTCTTGTCTAACATGTCGTTGGCGATTTTGGCACAGTTGAGAATAACCAGTGTTTGGCCAAGTACAGTAACGGAGCAAATATCCCCTACGAAGCAGATTAATCCAAAAACTGGGACGTTCAACGCAAGAAAAAGCACCATATTTTTCTCCCCAGCGTGCAAATGTCAGCCACTCCTTGTCTGCCGGCATGTCGCACAGATTTCCGACCAGCGGAAGGCCCATGGGACCCGGCGGGAGAGACATCACATTTCCAGAACAAAGATATGCTTTCAAGAGACAGAGGACGACAAGAACAATGGTGGAGTAGATGGCAATCATGCAGGAGGAGACCATCGCAGCTAGATGGACGAGCTGGAGGCGGTAGACAATAAAAAGAGAATGGTTAGTTTGCATAGCGATGAGTTCAGGGCTTTAAGTATATTACCAGGAGGTACTACCAGGATAGGATCAATCCCGATTCGGGAACGGGTCGAGATTTTAGACTCTTCCCTCAGATCTAAATTACAATAGAAGTCCGCGGTGAGCATTTTGGTTGCTGCTTATAGCATGCTTGAGGCCACGAGGCGGCGACCGACATTACTTTTGTTTTGAATGATATCGAGGACTCGTCCAGTAAGGCATGCAGATGAATGCTTCAGGCTTTGTTGATGGCAGGCCTCTCCCCGTGTTGAGATGCCAGTAGATCGTCCGTAAAAATCGCGCTCGTCGCCTCGCAAGGCCATTGCAACAAACCATCATTTTCCAGATGCACGGAGAATCTACTATTACGGACGCTTCTCAGGTGCCTTGAGGGTAGTGAAAGACATGGAGAGAGTGATAACCACGTCGAGATTTGCAAGAAGTATATCAGCCACTGGGCCTGAAAAACCCCGGCAGACTTAAATGACGCTGACAGCTGCGGGTGTGGGTACATCGGCGATTGTTGTGTTTGCTCGAACTAATAAGTAGCGGTGGCGTCGACTCCGGGAAAGCATGGCGTATATAGACGGTACCGGGCACATAAAGTCCTATACATCGATGCAGGAAGTGCCTAGTGCAGTTGCCATTGGGCTCGGAGATTCATAGGCCTATGAGTTTGTATGGCCCGGTCGTCTGGCTTCGGTTGCTCCGGATTCTGCTAACTGAGATCCACGGATGAGTAGCACACGGCAGATACGGCCTGGATTTCTAGCGTCCAACTTTGAGCTTGAAAGACGGTCGACAGCGGCCAACAGTGGCAAGTGAAAGTGGTTCGTCAAGAACAGCAGTGATCGATGATCCCCAGACTCAAAGCGGAGACCCCGCCTGGCAATCATAAGAGGATCCGGAATGTTCCAAATTAATTGAGAATGATTAACGAACGCATATGTGACTCAGAATTTCAAGGCGTCGATGGCTCTGGATGAAAGACGAGAGCGACGGCAAGATTGGATTCCGTGTTTTATCCTGTTGATACAAATATATGTACACCCATCCTGTCAAATCAATGTCGTCATGTGTGTACAACTACCAACTCGAACTACATACAAATACACCAAGATCAATGTTAGAATGTCATGCGCGTTCAATTGATGGCGACAAATGTCAACAGGACTTCTCCGTTACGGGAGACTAATTTAACAGGTTTCATCGATATTAGGCGACAATTTTATAAGTTGCGAGTGCTTACACTGACCTCTCCAAGTTGAACACTTAGTACAGGATCGTTATGGTCGTGGTGTGGACTCCGCAGAAAGTCCTGTACAGTGTCAATCTTGATCGATATGTTGGTCGATCTCTAGAGATGATTCAGAGATGTACGAATTACGACAACAGCACGCAAGATGTACCGCTGAGTTATGATTCCTTTCCCCTGACTTGGACAAAGCTTGCAAAGAGAAGGAGAGCTCATCACTGTTCTCCCCGAGATCTCTGATAATCTGCCTAGCATTCAAAGTGGCGAGCACGGAATTACTGTACACTGAGCGATGAGATTGAGTGGGGTTTGATATTTTGACAATAGAACAAACTCACGCCTTCCCAGACAAAAGTAAAAGGAGACATATATCAGAGTGTGACCCGACGCCAAAATCTGCGAGAAGATAAGCGAAGGTAAACGAGATAGCATCTTAGCTCACGGAAATGAGAGAAGCAACAGCGCACACACTGGTCAACAGACCTGTGCTGACGGTGAATGCTATCTGAACGAGAAGGTTAGAGGCAGGGGCTTAATTCTCATAACAATGACAACGAACTCACCAGTTTACTGATCATAGTGTCAGATCTAAGGTTAAGCTAGAGCTTAACGACCGGCCTAGTAACGAGTAACTCAAAAACCTACTTTTTGAAGCCAGTTCGTGACCGATGGAGGAATAGAAATAGAGCCACAGCTATGATTACATCTGTAATTGCGCCTAGCAGATTCACTGCCATGGAAAGCCCCTAAAGAATCCACTGCGATAAACAAATATCAAGTCATCAAACTGCGGCAAATACCTTGAGTTGTTCTAGTTCCACCCAGGTCTTCAATTGCATCCTGCTAAGGTATGAGTTTTTGCTCGTCTTTAGGCGAAGCTGCCACTTACGATTGCGCTGTAAAGACTATACTGTGGTTCATTTTCAAGGGTCAAATGTTGAATGATACAGTGCTTACCGGCTGAGCAACCTGTAGAAATAACTGATTTAAATCAACGTGACAGTATTTGTAAAGTCAGTTTACCAAAGCATGCAAGTACCAGACAAGTCTACCAATCAGTCAGTTCATGAGGACGAAAATTGTTTGAGTAATTGGCACGAACGATGAGCAAAGTCAGCGACGTGTTTTTACCGCTCACTTGAAACATAAGTGTTTCGCCTAATATCGCACAAATTAGAGGAACTTACACCTCCAGACTCGAAGCGTCAAGAATCTGAAGGGGTCGTCAGCGGTGATAGACCCTAATCTACAAGAAATTTTACCCTTGGACTAACAAGCCAATTAATCCCTGTGTAAATAATTTGTTAAAGAGCTATCATGCGATGCAATTCAGCTTACATTGAAGAGTACCTCGAGCTAGCAAAGGTCAATTCAAGACGCAATGTATTTGAAATATACTTACAAGAATACTCCTAAAGAACGGGTCAGAAAGAGTGATATAAGACTAGACAGACAATCCTACCAAACGATGTCGTCGAGTGTATGGGGATTATTGTAGTTCGTGATGATATAATGATACACTATCCAGGCTTTAGAGCGTTCCATGGGGCAAATAAATTGTTTAACTGACCAGTGTGCGATATGAGGGCTTGATGGATGGTTTCAAAAAACCATATAGATCCGACCTACGAAGAAAAATGAATAGATGCCCCGGTTTGGAGGGCTGTGCCTTTACCAGAGCCTTGATGTACCACACGTCCTTGACTTTGTAAGTATGATCAACAGGAAAATTGAAATAAAGTCGACATACTTGTTGATATTTCATGAAATAATACCATGCCTGTACGAACGATACTTAAAGAATCTGAGGAATCCCTGAGCGACAGAAAGCCAAAGAATGGTACCTCCGTATAACCTAGATTTAAAAGAGGTTAGCGCTTCATCCAATATGGCCGTGAAATGTATTCACATGGCGGCAGCCACAACGCCAATGTACGCCGCACCCATTCTTGGAAAAGTCAGGCGCCGAAAATAAATATGCAGACTAAACAAACGTTTTGTCCACATGCATCGGAGCTGGGAACTGTGACATGATCTGACGGCGCCGGGCTTGAAGCTGGAGGAGATAGAGGTCGAGGGGTTAGAGTCAGAGGCCGGTTCAGTCTAAGAGGTCTTAAAGAAAGCGGGAAAGAGTTAGGAAGCACAGGGAATCAGTCAAGATTCTACCTCATCCACCCCCGTGCACACGTACTGGGCGATGAGCCCATAGGGCAGGGGAAACTCGCTCCGGGTCGTCTCTTCTGGACAAGGAACGGATGATAATAAGTACCTTCGTCCGAGAATCTTCGAATGTGCGAGTTTGTGGGCATTGTCGGGAATAGATGAGGTCAAGGGAAGCGCAATTGGCGTTACCACTACCTAACTGGACGGAATGAGGTTTTTAGACCGCAAATCAACACGTAAACTGCCTGAAGGGCATGCATCGTCGTTCTGAATAGAAAGGAGGTGAATTCTTTTGCGTTGATTCCCAAGGCCACGCGCTCCGCGCTCAGAACTTCAGAACGTCTGACGGGTAGTTACATAAGAATAACTATGAGCAATTCATTGCAAAAAAATTGCTCAGTCGCTCGCGACCTTTTCCAATAACGCTTGCCCAGAGCTAGAGCATTCCTGTAGATTATGAAAGTCGGTACGGGAGGTTCGAGCAAGTATCTTACCTCCGAGCTTTTGCCTCAATTCGCCAACAATTCGCAGCAGCAATTCTAGCTTCGAGGAAACCCAAGAAAGTAGCGTGACGCTCGAAAGGGATGAATGATTTAAATTTCATGATTTCTGTTCGACGGCTTGAAGTCCTCATAACATGATGAAGACTTTGGAAAGGACGTGACGGTACTAGGCAGCCTTCACTAGATGTATAGGGTCAACGGGGTTTGTGGACATCGTTCAAACATCGAGCCTTCGATAGCTCAATCTGGAAGAGCGTGGGACTGTAACGGCTACGTGATGATCCCAAGGTCGTTGGTTCGATCCCGACTCGAAGGATTTTTGTCTAGTTATAGTGGGCGCATCGAAAGAGGGACTCGGGAGCAGCCTAACCTTCAGCGGCGTTCAGCCTGCTGCGTGCAGCGTGGGGGAGCGGGAAATTGGAATCCATGTCAATGATATCATGCAGTCGGACCATGTGGCATGAGGCGCGCGGCGTTATTTTTTCTCCTCTTGTTATGCGTGGGAATACGACGCATAACGACATTGCATCCACAACCGTGACCTTCGCGGCCACCATGACATACTGGATTCAAGATGACATCGCCATCATCAGAATTAGCTTCAGCGTTGGCCGATGGAACAGTATTACTTGGAATTTCAGCGCCTGCGAGTCTTTCTACTAGCCTTGAAGCACTGTTGAAGAGTCGCTTATCCAACTATTATTCTCGTCTGCCCGTCGATAAAGCTCAGAGTCTGGAGGAGAGTACTGAGGACCTTCAGCTCCTCACTGGAAGGGAAGCTCTGTCTATTGTCAAGAGGATTCACGAAGCTCTCGATTTCCAGGGCCCTGAGTCGGAAAGTCTCAAAGAAGGATCTCCGCCACGAGCACCTGCCATTGGAACGAGGGATCTAGCAGAAGTGCGAACTTTGTTGTCCGTCGTTTTCAAATGGGCTGTGCGGCCCCTCATGCTGCGACTCGGCGAACTATGGCCAAGCTCCCCTCAGAGAGGACAGGGTACCTCTGAGATCGTTGATTTGACTGTCGACGCGGATGTTTCTCAGCTACTTTCGAGCTTAATCACCTCGCTGTTTTCATTTATATTCCCTGAAGGCGCGCAGGGCCGGATATCACAAACGCTAATCGCGACTACCCTTTTGTCGCTCTATTCACCAGACATCCTTCTTCCGTCCATCTCACTTGGCTGGCTCCCCGAATCACAGGTCTCTGACCTTGTGGTGCCCCTCCACGAAGCGAGACCACTGGCCACACGGTTCCTGCGTCTGTATGTTTGTGAAATTTTCGTCGAGCCACTCATTCACCTTGATAAAGATTGACTCCCGCTCAAGCGATATTAGCTCTGACAAATGTTATATCGTCGACACTACCGCCCCCGCCCGTTCATGCCCGCAAAGCCTGTACCCATTTCCTCACAAAACAGCTCCTTCGCCCACACGGTATTAAAGGCCTCTTCGATGCTGCTTTTTCCTCCGACGAAATAGTCGCCGATGATGCAAAGTTTGAACAGATCGCGAAGATGCTGAATAGCGTCCCATCTAGTATGAAAAGCGAAGTGAGTTGCAGACGTTTTTCTGTTTTGAAAGGCTCAATATTCGCGTTAGGATTATCATCAAGTAATATTTCCGCAAGTCCTCGCGATTTTGACAAACGACGCGCGCCCAAACTATAAGCGAGCGGCAGCTTTCGCTATTTTCCGAGCAATCGTCCCTCAAGTTATTCGACAGAACACGTCGTCAGCTGCTAGTGTTGTACAGGACATACTCCATCGTCCTCTTCGCGATGCGCCAGAGCAACATTCAGAGCAAACCCTGGCTGCCCATGATGCACTATGGTCATTAACTGTTTTGATCTCCAACACTGAACCATCTCCAGCATTCATTTCTCGGTTGCTTTCGCCCGTCATCCCAGACGTGTATGCCTTGTTGTTCGATCTAGGTAGCCACAGGTTAGCAGATCCACAAGTCAAAGAATCTGTTACGGGAGTATTACTTTCATGGGGGAAAATCATTGATCGGGTAGAGGGAACGAACACTTTATGGTCCGTTATAGAGGGTGGTAGGGACTATACATGGAAATTCGGTCTGGAAGGAAATTTTTGGAAACTCAAATCGTGAGTGTTTCAACATCTGACAAATTTATCCTGACCCGTGAATTAGTCAAGAAGACTCGAGTCCCTCTATCATCATGCCAGGTAACATCAGCAATTTAGATAACGATATAGATGACCTTGACACGAATATATTCGACCTATTCCCGGATCCCGTCCACTTTGTCGAATTCCTGAAAAACATCGACCGCGGAGATATCGCGTCCTCGCTGTTTATCAAACTCCTCGAGGACTATCGCGACATGAAGGGACAAACAAACGAGGATCCTGTGAAGTATGTGCCTTCAGAATGACGACCTGATGGCAAACACTGAGATTATGGCTGAAGGACGCTGCACAAGCTCCAAATCATAATGCAAATGCAAAAGCGACTTTCTGAAGGGACCACCTCGAATATCCTGCAAAAGCCAGATCACTTGTTATCCTTCATTTTTCATGTACTCGATGCAGCCGGCATGACGCTCCAAGCTGGTACCGACGCTGGCCCGCCAAGGCGACCCCGTTTGCCCGTAGAAGATACGCTTGAAGATGCTGATAGCGATGATGAAGCTCCTGACTCGGAAGTGATCGGACCGGATGACGAACTCATAGAAACTGCAATCACGTTGCTCCTATCGATACTAGAAGGTAAATGGCTTGCATATAGCTCTCCGTGGCACATACTTTAACGGAGTCTCAGCGGACGAAACGCTTACGGCGCGGGTCTACCCTATCTTCAATGATATCTTTGTCAAGCTCGAACCCTTGGCCCTCAAGGGGTCTTCGGCATTAAGACCGCTCGCACGAGAAGCAAGGCTGGTCATCACCGCTAGGCTGGCCAACGTCTCTAGCTCGAAAAGGAGCGGCCCGAGGAAACAGGCAGACGAGGACGACCAGGAGGTCTACCAGAAGGCGCTCAAGCTGTTGCAGGACCCCATTCTTCCTGTCCGTGCCCATGGCCTGCTCCTGCTGCGCGAGCTTGTGAGTAACTCGGCTGTGAAAGGCCATAAGGTCAATAGTGCACTTGTCCCCTCGATTTTGGCTATCTTCCTGCAGGCTGTGCAGGATGAAGACTCGTACATGTTCCTCAACGCTGTCCAAGGGTTAGCGGCCTTGGCTGATGCATTTGGGAAGGAGATTATACAAGGCCTTGTTCATGATTATGCAGGAGGACTGGTCGGACTTGGTGCGGGAAACCTGACGCAACAAGATCTGGACATCAGACTACGGATTGGCGAAGCTCTTGGGTCTATTATACAGCGGCGCGGGACCGCACTGGGCTTGTACGGTACGTTTTTCGCACAAAAACTGGGCCTCTCGTCTCATTTATTCTATAGTGGATATACTAGTGCCACCTTTGTTTGCCACGGCACGGCGATCCAACATACCAACGGCCCTCCGAACATCGTCGCTGTCACTTCTTGCTGAATGTGTGGATACATATCCGTTGGCTATGTTGCCATACGTGGAAGACCTATCTCAGGCGATGATCGACTTGCTCCAGATTGAAAACATTCCTTTGCCCCAACGGAAGCCTGAGTCAAAAGAGGACCCGTCGACAGGAGGGACGATCGAGCAAAATGCAACTGCGAAACAAAGCACACCGACGCTGGATTCTGACCCAACATTGAAGAATTCTAAGTTCCCGCCTCTGCGACGCGCCGCAATTCATTTCTTATCTTTATTGATCAAAGCAGCAATGAAGTTGGTGTACGATGGGGCAGACATCAACCTCGCAAAAATATTCCCTCGCGTATTTGTTCGAAGGATGAGCGTCACACTTGGTTACGTCTCTTCCACCGACGAGGACAATATGGTTCGGGTTATGGCACGGGAGACCAAGGAAAGCCTGGAAGAACTTCAAGCAGCAGCGTTTGGATTGTGATGGGTTGATCAATGTACTATGTTCGATTGTCTACCTCGTATCTGTCTTAGACGCGGTAAGCTTTAGCAAGACTAAGTCAATAGAAAGGTATGTTGATTGTTGGTTCTCATCGATTAGGATGAGGTCTGAATGCAAAGCACAGTAAGATCATGGCCATAGGCTCTCAACTGCGTCGACCAGAACCGCGAAGAAAGTTTTGCCCACTTTAGACAATATCAGGCAATAAATTTCATGGGTTAGAAGGCTGCCCTACTAGCCAGCTGATTTCGTCAACACGGCGTTTGAAGTTCTTCCATTTAGGGCTCCCGACAGCTAAAAGCGCTGCTTGCTCGCTGCTGCCCTCCCCTGAATAACTTAATTTGAGGAAGGGGTTCGCGATTGACGAGTAGTATGCCATGTGAAGCGCCTTGAAAATCTGCGTGTTGCGGTAAGTAGCGGAAGGACGGAAGATATAATTGCACGCACTGTTATGATCTCGGTGTCGCGGACGACCATGTCCGACAATGGTAGGGCAATGACGATCTTTACCTTGAGCGGAGTAATATACCCGTAAACGGCGACGTCTTCCATGGAGAAGAGCAGGCCTAAGTAGCAGTCAGCAGCTTTTCCTGCAGCTGCCACTTTGCTACACAGTCAACCTCGCGGGACATGGGAAGAGGCATATGGCACACCTCGCTCTTCGATGACATCCAGGCTGGTGTGAGCAATATAATGATACTTTATTGCATGATCATCTTGCTTGGAGAACGTCCTTATGAGTATCGGGTGGTTCTGGGGAGAAATGAAAGCAACTGCATTGAGCTTGAGGTTGGGGGGCATCTTCTGGAGCGTTCGTCCGAGTCGCCCAGCGCGCCAGGAGCTGTCATATTTGCCCGTGCTTGGCGACACCCTCAAGATTTTGCTCCTGATCGGGGAATGATCTTCAAGTTGGGCTGCGTCCAATCATGGCGTCAAATGTTCCCGTAGGTGCAGCCGCCGCCATTCTGCAGCCCTCCCAGCCCATCCCAGACGATGCGGTCTCCGTACAGGGCCCAAATTTTGAAAATCCGCTGACTCTGCAGGGTTTCCTCCAAAGCTATGAGCGAATTGGTTTCCAGGCAAACAGCCTGGGCAAGGCGATCCATATTGTGAACCAGATGGTGCGCTAAATTATCTGCTTGAACCACAGCCTATCCTCATGTCCCATTCAGAGAAAGTGGCGACTTTCAGATGAACCCATTCCGGAAAACGAAGTCGAGGAATACCTCGATTCCGAGGTCCGTGCAAACACCCGGTGCAATGTATTCCTGGGGTACACATCAAACTTGATATCCTCCGGACTGCGTGAAGTCATACTTCACCTTGTC